TATTGCTTCAATAATGCTGTGTAACAACCATACCATTTCCCTGCTTAAAATTCTTCAGTAACTTCTTCTTGTTGGACTTGGAATCAAATCCAGAGTATAAAGTAGAAGCTCTGTGACAATAAGAATAACACATGTCTGGTTTGCCACAATGTCTCCAGCATAGATTTTGGTGTCTAATAAGAAGTAAATTGTTGGGCCTGTAGAATAACAGTAAAGGAGTACGTAAGTGAAACTGAGCTCTGTATCCCAGCCCAGCAGTCCCCTCAAGGGCTGGCAACCCACTTTCTCCTTTATGATGCTCTCTTACTAATACTGGCCTGTTGCCATTCAGCACATGCATTTTTCCCACTTGAAAAACAAAACTAACAGTAGCAACAACAACATAACAAAACCTTTCCTGTGACCCCTTTTAGCTGCCAACTGTCCTGCTTCTCAAGTGTCAGAACTTCACTCGTCATACTCAGAACAGTATTTCTATCCACAGCTTTCAAGCTATCATAAAATTCAAAACTACTAAAATCAATGGACTATTTTTTTCTCAGCTTACGAGACTGCTGGACTTCCATTGGTGCTCTCACTCTCCTTTTTCTGTAAACTCTCTCTTTCTGAAGCTTCTGGTTTTCCTGTCTCCAGTCACATCTTCATCTTCCTCAAGAGCCGTTTACTTCTCATCCTCCCACCCCAACTGATTTACTCTTACTGTTCTGTTTCTTTTACTACAGGATAAACCGTAAAGAAATAACCCAAACCCATGGCTATAATAAATACGTATATAATTATGACCCTATGATTTATTACTATCCCTGATATCTTAAAAGTTCCATGTAACAATGGCCACTACATATTGATTGTTCATTATTACATGTAAGCTCTGCTAAGAACTTTAAATATGTTGTTTAATTCTTCAATACCTTTTGAAGTAGAAATATGATTATTTTCATTTTATACAGGAGGAAACAAGGTCTCATATAGTTTAAATGAATTGTCAAGGCCACACAAATAATGACATAATCTGGGATTTGAGTTCAGCCTGCTAGACTCCATGATTTTGATCACTATATTATATTGCTTCATGTGCAAGAGTTATTTAAGTTGATTATTTTCAAATATCTTAATTGCAAATTATGTTGAGATCATCAAATTATGTTGAGATTCATCAAGATCCAAACTGGCTTTCATGTATCAAATTGAGAAGGCTTTCCTAAAAAATATGCTCTCTTCCTAGAAAATTTTATATTTTATTCTTCTTTCTAAATTGCTTATCTGTACACCTCTTCAGGAAGCTTCTCCTGGAAGAGGAAGCCTCAGGATAAAAGAAAATATATGAAAGCACAAAAAATGTCTTCATTGATCAATGGTTCAGGGCTGATATTTCGGTTTTGTTTAGCTTTGTTTTACTTGACTTTGGTTAATGCTTGAGTAGACGTTTTACACCAGGAAATAGCGGATGACCAGTTTACTAATTGCTGCATTTCTTTTCTCTAAGAATCTAGATGAGACAGACAGATGTGTAGCCAGATTATTAGACAAACAGATCAAACACTGAAATGTCTGAAGGCTGGAGGCAAAAAAAAAAAAAAAAAAAAAAAAAAAAAAAGCCAAAATAGATGATGGCCAAGGACAGAGGCATACAATCAGATTATTTGTGTTCACTATCCACCTTGCAACTTGTCATGGGAATATTATTTAAACAAGCTGGCCTCATAGTTCTCATACACAGAATAAAAATGACTGAACTACCTGCCTCTTGGGGCTATTGTGAATGGTACTAATATCTGCTATGGCTAGGACAGTGCCTTACACACAGTGAATATCCAACCAAAGATGGTGAGGCTGTTATGGCTATGCTTTCTTCATGTCCTTCTGCTTCATATGCTCTATTAGATAATCACATGCTAAACAATTATGGCTGCAGTCCATGGGACTAGAGTTCACACTAACAAACATGTGGATTGGGTGAAACCCTTATTTCAGGATCCAGTTTAAAGACATCAGTATGTGTTTCTAATCCCACTGATATGGTTTGGATATTTGTCCCCTCCCCAAATCTCATGTTGAAATGTGGTGTCCAATGTTGGAGGAGTGATCTGGTGGGAGGTGTTTGGGTCATGCAGGCAGATTCCTCATGGCTTGATGCTGTCCTCACAATAATGAGTGAGTTATTGCAGGATTTGATTGTTTAAGAAAGAGTGGTACTTTCCTGTCTTCTCTCTCTTGCTCCTGCTATCCCCATGTGACATTCCTGTTTCTACCTGCCTTCTACAATGAGTAAACACTCCCCGAGACCTCTTCAGAAGCCCAGCAGATGCTAGCACCATGCTTTCACAGCCTGCAGAGGCTTGAGCCAATTATACATCTTGTCTTTATAATTTACTCAGACTCAGACATTCCTTTACTTCTTTATAGCAATTCAAAAACAGCCTAGTGCATACACCTTAAAAAAAGCGACATGCTGGCGAACCATAACTGCTTAACGAAAGGAACACCACCTGGAATTCCTACTCACATAGCTGGGCTCTGCCATATCGACCGGTTTATGTGGAATAGAGAGAAATTGGATTTAACTCTATCTTGTATCACTCTTATACCAGAATTAATCAAACTTTCTGAATACATAGATAGTAAGAAGATTTAAAGGTAAGCCCAGGGAAACCAATAAATATTTTGTACTTTTACACAGAGTCTTTAAAACCTCAAGGAAATTGGATAAGACAGGTCATACCAATGACACCTGGCTGTTTAGAATGTGTTATGAGTAAAGTACATTATGGAAATGAATTAGAAGCTTAGGAAGATGCATTACCAGTTTCAGATTCTAATTTAGATGGATTTGGTGTTATGGTAATTTAAATTCACCTCATTTTATATATTCTAACGATTGTCACATTGGGATGGTTAAGGTAACTTTTCTGATTCCATAGACAGTGTGACACAAGCAGCACTGACCCCCAAGGCTTCCACTTTGAAGAGGCTATGATTTTCTCCCAGGGCGTATTTATGCTCTAATAAAATCTTATTTTGAGGCTCTATCCATTTGCTGTACAATAGTGATGACAATGTGAGGTTGTGCAAATCCTAGTGCTGCATGTTATAGAGTAAGCACCCATCTTCTCACATTGCTTACACAGTGTAGCCCCAGAACATCTTTAGTCATGATATTTATTGTTACAGTGCACACTCTCAGAAAGTACATACAAAATGAAAAAGAATGACATGAAGGGAGGAGCAAATCCTCCTTTTGTGCCATTCTTTCCCATTTGTACACATTTTCTTCACAGGGACGCTAATGCTGGCAACATTATAGCCCGTCTTCTAAACCTGACCTTCATGTAGCTGAACCATATGATGCTCCTGAGTGAACATCGCCCGTATGCAGTCAGTTCTGTAAAAACAACAGATTAGCACGGGCAAAACTGCTCTCAGCAACATGGTTGATATCTTGTCCCCGGAGCGCTTGGTGTATGACTTCCCCTTCCCTAATAGAACTACGACTTTGTCCATCTCCTCATGTAAGAAGAGTCCTCACAACCATCTGTTGCCCTCATGGCATTTTTGACCTGGACCTGGATTTTACAGGTCAATGAGCAAAACTTGCATTCCTGATTGCATGCAAGTCCCATCGTTACCTATACAGGATCATAATGAGAACTCAGTGTTCTTTCATACATTTGAGCAAAAGTAACATACCCAGTTTCATACACAGTAAAAAAAAAAATGCAAATCCTCCTCAAATCTCATAAATGCATATCTTTCTCAATCTAATTAAACTATATTTGAGAAGAAAGTAAATTCATCCAAAGGCATGCTCATTCTGAAGTTACTGAATGCATGTGTAAAATATCTCTGTCCCCCACACACACTCTAAATGCCATCTATGATTAAGATTATCCACATCATTTTGAGTTCAAGCTTACTTTTACTCTTGCACAAAAATTGGCAAAGTCTCATCTGACAAGGTTGGAGGTGGCTTTTCAATAGAACGGAGTAATCAGATTCACGTGAAGAGAAAGAATACATTAGAATGACGTTTTTTCATTTACCTGATGGCTCACTTTTCATATACTTGTATGTGACTATCTCTTTTTTAGGGGTCAATGCAATCCTAAATGATTTCAGCTGACAACAACAAAAAAAGTGTATCAGGATTGAATTAAGATGTGTTAAAATTAACACACTGGCTTTTTTCCTTATTTCATTCTGTGTGATAAAATACTAATGTGTGACCCTGTGAGCTTTGGAAAGAAGCTTCTAATTTCTGATATTCTTCCTTCTGCCACCATTCCTTTCACTATATAAATGTCAAAGTAAATGGAAGGGGGAATCTCAGTGGGTAGAAGCTACTCCCACGCCAGCTGCTAGAACAAGTAGTGATAGTGCATTCACCTAGAATTTCTTGGTCATGTCCACATGGCCTCTACCTCTGGGAGAGCAAGCCCAGCTCATCACTGAAGGAACTTACGCTCCCATCTGAATTAATAATAACTTGATTATGAATAGCACTTTTATTTACAAATCCACGTATTTCTTCCATGTATATTATGTGACATCTGTCCCAAACCCTATAATTTGGAAATTTAAAAAATTAAAATCTCTTATTTTATAACTGAGAAAGCAAATTCAGGGTGGTGATTTATCAGCTCATATAGCACATTAATAGTGGAGCTAGGATTCAAAACTAGATATTCAGACATAAGGAAAAGTAGTGTTCTGCACCCTTGTTTAGAGCTCTTTACGCCAAACACAGCCTTTTGCACCGCTCTGTGTACTCATGTCTCATTATGTGCCTGTATGCCTCTGAAGTCGTCGGTCAAAAGTCTTTCACATAGAGAAGAACAAAGAAACGCACACCCTATTTGGTTGAAAGGGAAGAAATGATTCTTGCTTGAATGGGTATGTGTGCTTACATAGAGACACACCATACAAAATTCTATCATATTACGGATTCGCTTTCTAAAAAATTTTCTTACAAATTGATATTTATATTGTATGAAGTGTTTGTATTAAATTATGACCACAGTACAAGTGCAGGCCTATATACCTGTGCACGAAATTAATGCAAAGAATCACCATCAATAATCCCAGATTTCCCTCTCCATTCACCAAATTTCCATTAGCTATGGCAACCTAATTAAAGAATGTATTGAGTGGAAATGAATTAAATTCAGCCAGAAAGAAGATAGCACTCTTTATATTTCTCACATTGTTACATCATTTTAATTTTTTTAGGTGAGGAGGATGAATACCATTTGTTCAACATTTCTAATGCAAAGGTAACTTTGACATACAATATCTGTTTCAACCCTCCCATTAACTAATTAAATTAAAAAAAAATTATTATTCCTGTTTCCCAGATAAAAGTACCTGAGCCTCAAAGATGTTCAATTACTCATATTCCCAGGTGCCATAGCCAGAATCCCAACACAAGTGTCAATTCATTTTTTTTCTTTTTAAATTTTTTTTTCTAATTTTTGTGGAAACATAGTAGATGTATATATTTATGAGGTACAAGAGACATTTTGATACAGGCATGCAATGTATAAAAACCACATCAGGGTAAATGGAGTATCCTTCATCTCAAGCATTTATCCTTGGTGTTACAGACAATCCAATTATGCTCCCTTAGTTCTTTCAAAACGAACACTTAAATTACTTTTTACTACAGTCACCCTTTTGTGCCAGCAAATGCTGGGTCTTATTCATTCTTTCTAATTTTTTAATCCATTACCTGTTACCTCTTAAAGTAATGTAACTTCCCTTTTACCATGCTACATGTCAGGAGTATCTCACAAAGAAGAAGAGAGAAGGAAGCTGGAATGCAGGAATTGGGGCAGCAGGCATGACTCTTGTTCCTTCCCGAGCTCTCGCTTTCACTGTTGAGCTACTGGCATCATCCCAATCTTGTCATAAAACAAGAGAGATTCTGCAGAACAAATAGAAATTGAAAGGAGCTGCCAAGCACTCAGGAGGGATCTCTGTCAGATCACTTAATATCTGGAATGAAAGCACAAGAGGACCAGATCAAAGAGTTATAAAGGTGGCTTTCATTGCCACATGAATCTTTATCACCTCCTCCTCTCAATAAAGGTATATTCTAAGTAGAAAGTTTGCTTTATATTCAAACAACTTCAACACAACCCCTCATACCTATACTCTTCCTTCCATTCTTTCAACCAGATAATCACACTTAAATGTTTTCATATAGAAATTTGGGGGACCCTCACTTGTTTCTGAGATGTTCCTATATACTGAGGATAATTCTTTTTCACTTCCTAGAAAGGGCTTCCATCCTACTCAGAATAGGCCACAGTATACTACTATGGTAGTGATGAGAGAGTGTAATATAGAGATCCAGTTCTCAGAGAGAGACGAAGGAAGGTTCATATACAACTTAGACCAAGGAGTTGATGTGGGATGATGAGAAGAGGGCAGAAGAGAATTGGAAAAGTTATAGGGTATTAATAGAAAGCGTCCATAATAAAATTCATGAAATACGCCCAAGGTCAATTTCAAAAGAAAAAAATATGCTAGGAAAAATAAATCATTGGGAAAAAAAACAGTTAAAATGACTTCAATACAATAGCAATGTAGGGATGAAATAAAATCAAAAGTGGAAAGAGCTAGAAGGGCTTCATATACTACAAAGCCTAAATTAGCTTTGTTTTGGAGAAAGTTTACTAACAGATGCCAGATTCCACAGAAATGCCTCTGGCAATGGCAGAAACACTAACAAAAGAAACCTGCAGCTGAAAAACAAATTGCCAGGTCATTCAACAAAGAGACACACTACTTTAGCATCAGCACAGGTATCTGTGCCCTGGGACATTGCGGGAACTTTTCACATGAACTCTTCCTTTGGGGGATACATGGAGCTGCCACACACCAAATTTCTGCTTTGGCTCCTAGAACCATAACACAGTAACAATAAAATAAAATTGGTATAACTCTTTAAGTTCCCTAAGAGAATTGTAAGCCAAAATTTATTTAACCTGTTCATGTATGATTTTTTCTCACATACTTCAAGGAATGCAGCCATATGTGTGAAAGAATTTTGTTCTGGTCAGAACACATAACCAAGTTTGTATAATTGTTAAAATTGTCATGAAAGCAATCAAAAGTATCTCATTAATTCATTTATGTTCTCAAATATTTAATAAAAACCTACTATGTACATGTTGAACTCTATTCAACACTGGGAATACAAATAAAAATACAGCAGATTTTTAAAAATGATTCATTGGGTTTGGGGCTCCAGATTCTGACAAACCTGAAAAGGAGCCAAAAAAGTCCAGAGAATAGCATCATCTGGGGGCAGCAAGCTCCAGGAGATCCATGAGAATGGTCAGATTGGAGATCTTTGTAGGTCTTTGGAAGCTTGCTCTCTTCACATGTTTAAAGTGCTGACTTAACAAAGACTAGGTAGATGTGTTCTGTGGGGTGGCAGGGGACAAAACCATAGAAGTTATAGGGAGAGATATTTTGACCTAATAAAATTAAGGAGCAAAATGGGCCAGCTTACAAAGGTTTTCAGACTCTGCAAAATTCAAACAGAGGTGGGATAATCAACTTGTCAGAATATCCTAATGGGGCTTTTTGGCTCTTGTATAAAGTTAAATTTAAATATATTAATCTGAGATAGTAAGACCAGTGGTGTTGGAAGACTCAATCTCATTGTTTTCTTTTATATGAAAAAGTAATAAGATTAGCATTTTATAACTTTAAGATTATGCTATGTTATTTGCCTTGAAAATAATTTTAATAATGAGATTATTAAAAAGTAGATCCATAACAAGCAACAAATACTTTCACCTTTGGGTTTTAGGGTGGGATAAGAAGTCTTTTCAGTTTCATGTGCTCCTGTATCTCTGATTTTTTTAAGTCCATTTGTAATAGTTGTGCCACAAAATTTTACTCTGAAAAAAGAAGAAGAGAAAGAATAGTGCACCCCTAAGAGCAGGCCTGAACTGCCTTACATGTTAGGTACCGTGTGGTCACTAGAAGTACATTGCTGTTTTAGACAGAAATATCTCATTACCACTGGTTGGTCATGAAAGTCATGGTTTGAGTAGCTTCTGCCCAAGTGTGAATTACTTGTATGAATGTTACCTATTTTAACAGAATGTCTGGGCAGTCAGTAGTTATTTTGGTTCTGATTATTATACAGCAGCTTTCTGTAGGCTATTAAATTGCTTTCCAAATCTGTTGAAGTAGCAGTTGTTAACAGGATTAACTGGGTCGACAGAGTCTAGAGACACTAAAGTTGAATCAGAATTGGATGCCTCAGTTAGGTAACCTTCATCCTCTTTGAAACCATGCAACAAAGTCTTTCATATTCTTGTTTCTCTTTTTTACAAGAGATAATCTGACTCTTTATCACTAAGGTCTTTCTATTGACTTTTTTGACATTTTAGTTTCTTCCGTTATTGGATAAATAAAAATTACAGCAGAAATACATAAAGGTGGGTAATAAAGAGGAGATAATATCTATCAGAATTAAGGCACTACAGAACTATATTTAAATAGTGTACTAGTGCAAAAACAGATGTGTCTGAAACAGAATCTTGTGATAAAAGAGATACTTCCAACAAGTGGCAATGAGAAAATTGCCTAACTACTTGGGGGTGCGGGTATGTTAAATTACTACTTTTTATCATTATAAGTTATATCAAGATTAAATAATTATATATAAAGAAATTAAACCATACTGACAGTAGGAGAAAATAAACATTTTATATGGCATTGCAGTGGGGTCTTTCTAAGCATGACACCAAAAGCAGAAACCAAAAGTATGAGACTCATAAGTAAAACTACTTAAAAATTAGATTATCACATATAAAAAGAAATGAAATAATCAATTAAATGCAAAGAATAAACTGTGAAAATATTTACAACATATATAAAAATGGTTCTTAAAATGAATAGAAGTTGAGGAAAAAATATCCCCCCAAAATAGCCTTAAGAAATGAAGAAATGATAAGAAGATATTTCTGTGGTTTCCAACATATTTGATACTTACGTGGTTTTCAATATTTTCCTGTTTTAAGCGATACTGTAATGAATAGGCTTCTATTCATTGGTATATGTATCACAAAGAGGGAGATTCCTACTTAGGTGAGATTAGTCATTCCATGTCTTGACCTTCTCTATTTGTAGAGGTCCACTTGCTTCACACAAACTCCAAGTCATCTTCCTCCTTGGCTTCATTTCAGTTTATCTAAAATAGACTAACACGGAATTAATGATGCAATTTGTTTGCTAACCAGTGCCCACCCTGAGTCGCAACCATCAGAATGTATCAAAACCTTATGTTGTACATTACAAATACATACAATGTTTGCAAATTATGAAAGAAATTAATAAAAAATAAAAGACAGCCAGGGTAGGAAAAACAAATGAAGCACAAATACATACTAATCTTAAAGCCCAGCAGATGGGGTGTCCCTTCCCATGACTTTATTCAATTGGAATTCTCCTTTTCTGTGCTTCTCATTCTCTGAAATCCTTATTCAACTGTTCTTCTAACAGAGAATTCTTGTCACATTTGTTTCATTCTAGTTGCTAACACAGAGCCTGGCATGCAATATGCACTCAATAATGCTTGATGCATGAATTCATGTGAAGGAACAAGCTAAGTTTCTTTTCTTCTTTTGGGTCATCATGAGAAGATAAGGAACAAATTTTGTAAAGATAATTGTAAAATATGTACCTCTAGTAAGGAGATTAGTCCTGTCCACAACCCAACTTCCTTTCCCTGCAACCAAAAGGATTCATGGTAGAGGAAGACCTGTGTGCCTAAACTTAGATTCTACTAGCAGTCTTAAAGATAAGAAAATACACAGACTACTCCTGGGAGGAGATGGCGATCTAGTGAGACACAGACATGTGACACAGACACAAAAATTGAAAAAAGAGAAGAGTATGCAGACAGATATTTGTTCAAATTTACAAGAGGTTTTTGGAATGATTAGGAATGCAGATAACTAATAGGCTGGAGAAACAGACCACACTGTGCACCACTCTGGCCCTGCTCCTTGGCTGTTTTCCACCACAATTAGTTGTCTGGCAACCTTGCAAGATCTTAATCAAAATAACTCCAGATTTAGCCACATCAAAAAGGCCATCAAAATGAATGATTGCAAATGTTTTGAAAGGGTCATGAGCAAAATGAGCACTAAGGATATACGTTTTAAATATTGCCTTATCTCTTTCAGTTCCAAATAAAACACCAGAAGGGTACTGTCACAACTTCAGCACTCTCACTCCATCCTTCAAAATCTATTAATATCACATTGGGAAGTTGGTGACGTTGTCAGGAGTCCAATACAATCCCACAGCATTTCTTTCTTTTATTCTTCCCTTTCTTGGAGAAATAACCCTTTTCTAATCTTGTTACACACATTTTTATGGTTTCTAACCTAGTAAATACCAGATGTATTTTTGCCTGCAATTACATCAGATTTCATGACCTAAAGGGGCATGAAATGATATCATTACATTATTCATATAAATAATGTACTTAGGAGATTGTGTAAAACCCATGACAGTTCACAAAGCCCATTTACACATAGTTGTTGTCAACTTAAAACAACTCTATGACTTGTTTGGACAGATTATAGTGTTTTTTTCCAATTTAAAAAGGAGAAAATTGAAGCGTAGAAATGCTAAGGAAAATTCTCAAGGTTAACACAGCATGTAAATGGTAAAATGATTCTTCAAAACCACTCATCTGCCTCTGAAACTACTCTGTTCCTATGTGTGGGATGCACAATTGAGAAAAAGAGGAAGAGAGGGAGCTGATCTTCCCTAGTACCCCTAGCATAGTAGTCTGTAGGTCGAGCAATGTGCTAAACTCAATGTACTATCATATCAATAACTCCATCCATACCTCCTTCCTTATCATTCTACATTTCCCACTAGAAAAAAAAAATGGCACTTCTCTGAGCTACCTGCATTATTTACAAGAACCAATGCCTGGTTCTTAGGATCTTCCCAATGGAAAACTAAAAACAGTATAGAAGACACTCTCATAATATTTTATTACTAAATCTTTAGGTATAATCTTAATTTTTGGATGCTTCTATTTCTCTCACAGTCCCAAAATTCCAGTGTTTTAATTAAGACTCCCACTATCCTGAGAGATCGACCAGAACCACCTTCTCTAGGAAGAACCCGACATACTTCCCCATTTTTTGTCATCTTTTCCATAAAAAGAGAAAAATAAATGAGCTCATACTAAGACATTAATGATAGTAATTTGATAAATGGACTTCCCTGTTAATGGCAAAGGTATTTCTTTTGCGATTCTCTTATTGGTTTATTTCAGATATCAGACAGGTTGCAAGGGAAAATATTTGGAAATGGTTAGTCTTACTAGTAATTGCTGCCTTTAAGCCTCACCATAACATTAATTAGATGGATATTTTAAAATCTACCATCCTAGATTTAGATTAGTAATTTGTATATATAGCTTTTAAAATGAAGAATTACATTTTTAAATGCTTAGACTGTTACACAGAAACACTGTCTGAATAAAACTAATAAACTGTCATTGACAAATAGTCACTTCCACTTTCAACATGTAAGAGAAAACTAAAAGACAGAGAAAAGAGACTGAATTCGGTAGAAGTTTCCCAGTGGGTCCAAAGGAAATAAAATGACTCATTTTCCTGAGCCATTTTAAGCCTTGATTACATTAACTTTTAGAAAATGCACAAAGAAAATATTTCAGAAAAGGGTCTTGCTGGGATAAATTAGTATATTTCTTGGACCTCTGGTAAGCCATGAATGACAGCATATGTTAGTGTTAACCTTGTGTTACATTTCTGAACCAGTGTCCATCACAGCCTCTGAGGCCATCTGCTTTCAGCTCTGAAAATAACCAGAGATGACTGAATTCTTGGAACACATATTTCCTACTGTTTTATTAGAAAAACATTTCCACCTTAATCAATCTCTGTGTTTTACCTCAAGCATATATTTGACAAACATCCAAGGTTTAAGTTCTTTAGTACACACAGCAGACTTTATATTCCCAGGAAAACGATACTTGATGTTGGAGAAGTTTCAGTGCATATGCAATGGAATCCTATACTGTAATGTCTCATTTGCTTTGCTCTCTGCTCTCGGGAGGAAAAGGGACTTGTACTAAACGAAACCACAAGGGCAGGGAGATAAAGAAGCCTGTGTGCTGGTATTTTCCCTGCGTTAATGCCTTTAGCATCCTCACTCATTTAGATGCTCTGGTTATATAATTTTTTCCATTGTGTTTTCTTGCTTCTTTAAATGGCTCTTTGTGGCTCTCCTGATTGTCTGTATCTGACAGCTGAGGCACATAATCTAAAATGTGCACAGATAAACGGTAAAAACAGAACATCTGAAAACATAGAAGTATTCCTGGCCATCTTACAATTCAAATAGGATCTTCTTTGTCCCAGTAAAGCAAGGCTACTTGAACAAAAATAGCTAAAAGTGTGTTTTCATACAGATATTTTTTTAATGTCTCAAATAAAGCAAAAAAAAAATGGTGGAGGATATAGAGGATGATATGGGAAGAACATTACTAAGTCTTTGTCTTTAGAAATCTTGGCGACATGTATTGAATTGCTTTGGTTCTGAACTGGATGGCAGGTCTACAAAAATCCTCCTGTGACTTCTTTCATCACCTTCATTCAGTTTTATATTGTTTTGAAGGTCCAGGCAGGAAGGATATGTAATTGGACATTTGGTGAATGCAGAGGAGTGAAATTGTGCCCAAAGTTATTAGCTTATCTTAGTTTGAAGAGCAAGGAGAACATTTTACTTCATCTAACTTTTTATGGCAATCAATCCTCTGCTTCAAGGGTAACAACAGAATGCCTTTATTCATTCTCATGGAAACATTGACATCTAGTGGTTCTCTGCATTAATGCAGGCCAGTCCAAAGGCTGGGGGAAATTCTCAAATCTTTGTGGTATTCAGTATGGATGCTTTTTGATTAATTTGGCCCACTGATCTCACTAGGTAGCTGCTGTTTATAATAGCGTATTTTTAGAAATGATGCAAAGAAAGCTGTAGAAAACAAAATGAACATATTTCACCAATGGCTTTCATGTATGTTGTAAATAAATTCTTAAGGATTGTTTTACTTAAAGATGTAATGTTGCTTGTGTCAAAACTCCTAACGGTTCACTGAGTTTACTAATAATAGAAACTAGCTCTTCATGTTTGGAGGCCTGCAGAGTCTGGGATAGTAGTTCCCAAACTTTTAAAATGTGTAGATGACTTTGATAAACAGCAAAAATACTCTGCAGGAAATTTTATATTTGAGCAGCCACACTTAATTTTGCGCACAACCTCAAGGAGTTCATAAAACATTTGAAAGTCAGGCTGTTAAAAAAAAAAACCCTGAATTAGTAATAATGATAGGAAACTCTCATATAGCACTTACTATGTGTCAGGTACTGCTGTGCGTGTTTTAGATCATTTAATCCTCACAATTCTTCTAAGAAGTAGCCATTATTATTCACCCATTCCACAGAAAAACTGATACACAGAGAGATAAAAATATTTGCTTGAAGCCACATGGGCCGTAGCAGGTGGAGTTAAGACTCAAACCTAGGTAGGCTGACCCCAAATTCTACGTTCTCTCACACTGTCCAAAGCCTTTCCTAAGGGTACTTCAGAGATGGCTAGACAGGCGGATGGAAACCTTAGACATTGGTTTCACTAAGACCAGTCTCTTTAAGCAATCTCTTCAGACTACTGTAATTACTTTCTATCCACTATTGCCCAGAATTGTATCACAACATATAACATGCACTATTTAATGAGAGGAGAAGGAAGCAGGTGGAGAAATAAGGCAATGTGTTTTGTGTCTCTTAAAATGGAGATATAATGCAAATTTGCATTACTAGGACCACAAGTCCTGTAATCTTGGGCTGACAGCCACTGGAAATAAAAATGACCCATGTATCAATCACAAAAACACTGACCTTGAGCAAATTTTTTCAGTTCTGGGGTGGAAGATGTAATAGATCTTCTTTGTGCTATAAGACCTTAAACTTTCATGTTCATACCTTGTACTTCAAAAAGTTCCTTCAAAGCAAACTACCTGGATTTATTTTCCTGTGGTCATATTAGAAGAGAAGGGTTATAGCATCTGCTCCCTAGTATGCAATTCTCCTGGAGTGCAATGGTAATGAGGTTAAAGAGAAGTGTGCAACCACATACTAGGTTATACCATCCAAGACGTCCCAACACTGGATCATTCTACTCACACCCTCCCCAGAGGCTGCTAGGAGATGAAAGAAAAGGGCTGTTGGGCAGCCAGAAACCTTCCTGATTAGTGCCTGTCCTCTAAACACCTAAGCACATCACTGAGATAAAGAATCTCCTTTTGGACCCATTTCTAGATGGCAAGACAAAGAGTGGAAGGCTATTTCCCCTTCTTGGAAAAGACCTGTTTATTTCCAGTGCACCACTTATAAATGTGGGAGTCTCTCTAATTATTTAATCTTGTCATACAATTTTCCCTTTGAAATGGATATGATGAAAACTTTAAAAGCATTCTT